TTAGTTGAGTAAATAGCCTGCGAACAGTATTTTCCAAAATTTGGAAGCGCCATTCAGAATTCAGAGCGGTACGGGCAGGCTCTTCTTCTCCCTTTCCTCTCCTTCTTTTCTGCTCACAGGCTAGTTGAGTAAATTCAGATTCATGACATTGAGGGTGAGTGACCGATCTGACACAATTTATCGTTTGAATTTTCTCTTCGATTTAATTTTTATGAAATGTAATGGTAAAATTAGCTGCAATGCAAAGAGTTAAAAAAATAAAGTTTAGAAATATAAAATGAAAATTAATAGTAATAATAATAATAATAATAATAATAACAATAATAATAAAACTAGTCATAAGAATGTGTATATTTGTAAAGTTTGAGGGTAATTTTATTTCCCTGATTGCTTCTGGTGCACAATCGATGACACAAACCGCAAATATTCATTCCTGTAAATTACCTTTTGCTTCCTTTTTTCATAACAACAAGAATAATTAGACAATGGGCGAGACTAAAAGCTATTTTACTGTTTTTTCTTTTTGTTTTGTTTGTTTGTTTGTTTGTTTTTTTCAATTAAAAGAACTAATGCTCTCTAATTTGCATAATTCAACGAGGATACTGTTCCATTATTTAGTTCCAGTTTTCCCCTTACATTGGGCTCAAAATCCTTGGAACAGTTTAGCCGGCTACGCCCTCTCAATATTCAGAATGGATATCTTAATATGTAGCTTGATCTGCAGAATTGATGCGTTGCTAAAACTAATTAGACGAATATTACATAAACAAAGAATCCCAAACTATTATAATTAACACCTGATTAAACGGGTCGATGTCAACAAATTCTGTTCTAAATATTGAAAATGAACGCAAACTGGTTTAAGAATCAGTCAACTGGCAAGAGGCAGACCAGTTGTCTATTTACACGTACAGCATAACCGAGGTCGGAATTGAATTGAACTCGGACCTACCAAGAACAAATCCTGCTCATGGACATAGCAGTGCGCAGGGCTTGAAATCGAGACCTCCGGATTACTGTATTAGCTCCCTTAAAAACGCCGCCTCGGCCATGTTGCGTCCAATACGTTTGCACAGTTATCATAGATTTCTTACGAATACAATTTCCCTTGCGTCTTTAAAATGGAAGGAAATGTAAATTAAAGAATACTATTTAAAACTCCGGATCATTGAATAATGCAATTCAAGGGTTTTCATTGGGTTAGCCATCTGGCATATATAAACAATGACCATCATTTGTCGTGAAAATGCGCTCGAATATTTGTCCCCGCATATTATCTGTTCCGAGGAGCGAACAGTTTTCTACAAGCGTAGCTAGAAGAAATCTACAGAATCGTTTACAGATCATGCCCAAGGACGAATATCTGAAAATATTTTCGCTCAAAATGGAGACTATTGCGTTTATTATGCTTCATATATTTTTCGCAACAAGCGCAGTTTATCTCTCGGGTATTCCCCAGTTTTAGCGGAGGCATATTCAATCACGTGAAGAGAGAAGCGTTCAGATCAATTGCACGCGAGCGAAAATATTTGAAATATGGTAAGCGTGTTCGTATTTTGGGGGGAACATCTTTATTTTATTTTAGTTTTCTATGTTTTGGAGGCGTTTTTTTTTAAGGAAATTATTCCCCTCACTGCTTGTTGGATATGAGATGGTTATCAGACAACTCCGCCCTATGCGCCTCTCACTTCTCATATCCAACGCGCGCGAGTGGAATAATTGTTAACTCAAATAAAACAAACTAAATTAAGGCTACTTAGGCTGATGGGAATTTTCGTAAGAGATCACAATTGAGTGAGACCATGAACTACGTTGCTCGTCATAATCTCAGCACTCTTAAGATCGTTTGTTCGTAACAAAAAGAAAGATTCTGAGGTATTCTTCCAAGTCACCTTTTCGTTCTTCTAAGACAGAGGGCCAATCTCTACTTGAAGAAACAATGTGTTGTTGACAATGTAGCGTCTTGTCTTCAGAATCCTGTGGGAGACAAATCTATCAATGATATATATGTAGCTAGATACATCTGAAGTAGGCTTACTTTCGTGAACTATCACAGATTGTGCCACGTTTTGCCTCTTAATTGTATCATTTTGTTGATCAATCAACGTAAATGTGGCCTTATAATGGAAAGGCCAAGCCAGTATGTTGTCGTGATCGCCTTTCATAAAACGGAGGTATACTGAAAGATACCTGTTCCTTTTTGACTGATTGCCATCTGGTTCAATACCGACTGATAGCTTGTAACCCGTTTTTCCAGTGAAGAATGGCTTACTGTATATTTCATCCTCAGTTCCATTGATGGCCCGTTGTAAAATCTCGCTGAAACCATTTATCTTCCACACAAAAGTGGAGGATTCACTTCTCAATACAGAGACCTCTTTCTCCTGAGCGGCCACCTTTGCATCAAGAGCGACATTTGCCGCTGTCAACTCTTTCACCTGCCCCCGTAGTACTCTTCTCTCCTGGTCAAGTTCTTCTTGCTTCAGTTGGAGCGCGTTCACCTTTTCCTCAAGCTTTCCAGTAGTTTCTTTAAAAGTTGTACATGCTAAGTCAAGATGCAGCTGCATTGTGGACTGGAGATGGGCTTCGACTTCCTTCCTCTGAATCTAAAAGCAGAAGTTAACAAATTTATTTACTCTAGTAATTTAGCCGCTACTGATAAAAAGGGATCGGCTGGTTTAGTTTGATCCGCCTATTGCTTAGTTGGTTGACAGAATCGAACGTCTCCAAAGAGAGAGGGCGTAGGTTCGAATGGCGGCGGGCCTATCCGTCTTCAGTACGATCACGCTGGATCTGGTCAGCTAGCGTTATCGAGCAAGGACGTTAAGTCGTTGGTTTACCGTCTTAACGTAACCCCCTCTTCTTTTTAACCTTCACAGATACTCTCAATGGGACCGTTAAAGAATCGTTCATCAGTCCGTCCAGTTACTATTACAAACCCTTATAAATCATACTCTTCGTGACTAACAATCCATTTCTATAACTCTTACCGTACCATTATATTACAGACAGGACTACTTTTCACGATAACTGCAGAAATTCTCGCGCTCTCATTGCCTAATTTTCATTGTCAATAACAGGACAGCCGAATGATTTTATGATTTTTTTTTTATATGCTTAAATGCTTAAAGAAAGTTTATAACCTCCCCTATGTTACCACGCTCGAAACAAAGCTTCAAATTTTTCAATATAAAATTATCCACAACATACTTCCAACTAGGTGTTCCCTTTTCCGTATGAAGCTATGCGATTCTGAAATCTGTCCGCTATGCAAAATGCAACCGCAAACATTGCCTCACTTATTTTACCTTTGTTCTGTAATTTCCAATTTCTGGTCTGCATTTCAAAATTGGTGGTTTGAAAAACATAAAAACATAATTACTCTTACCGAACGTAATATCCTTTCTGGTTGGCATGATAACACCACAGAATCAAAAGACATTTTAAACTATGCCACCTTGGTGGCCACGTATTACATATTTTGCACTATCCAAGACAGCAATGATGTACCCTTTGATGGCTTTCCTTCTTTACTTAAGAACAAATTAAATACTTCACAACAAATAGCAGTTAAAAATAAAACCTCTGACAATTTCAACAGAAAGTGGAAAGACTTTATTTGAGTGTTTTTTTTTTCATTTTACTTACTTAGTTAAGTTATTAATTAATTTAATTAATTCTTAATTAATTTAATCAATTCTTAATTAATTTAATCAATTCTTAATTAATTTAATCAATTCTTAATTTAGTAATTGTTTTCTACTAAAATGTTGTACGTTGTAATAGTTTGTATTTTTTTTTTGTATTTTTTTTGTAACACACATCATTACCTTCTGTAATGTATCTCCTTTAATTGTCCTATAGTAGTTCATGTTGTATTAATAATAATGATCATAATAAAAAAAAATGATTTTATGATTTATGCCATGCGTCAACGAGCGAGAGCGGACAACCTGACAATTGGTTATTATAAAAAAACAAATTGACGTCAGTTTGTTAAATTTCCTTCTTAAATTACTTCATATTACCTTTGCATTGCAGCCCATCTGAGCATACGGACAGGAAACCATAGACAGCGGACAGTGGTCGTTAGTATGAGATGCAATCTAAAAGGTATCAAGATTGACTGAATATTAATAACTTACCTTCCTTTTCCTAACATGCTTATAGCTATTAAAATGAAACGTTGTCAGGGTTATTAGAGTAAGTTTCGTTGAGATAAAGGCATATTGTATAGTTTCATTTCTTACGCACTGCAGCCAAAAGGCCTCTGTAGTACTTAATTCAGTATACATGCGCTCTAACCTTGTGTACTAACAGTGGCGGTTCCGGGCGCTCTTAATAAAGGGGGTTGAGAGGACCCAAATGCCTTTTCCCGCTCGAGTAAAGCGCAGAGAGTTCAACCATTCTTCAGGACACAACGCGTAACTATGTATTGTTCAACCAAAAATGGGGGCGACTCTTCTTGGCCCATATCTTTGATTAAAAAGCCAGCTAATAAACCAGTATTTTTGTATTATATTATAATCGGTCCTTTACAGCAGATAAAAATTTGAACGTGACTAAGTTGGAATAATTTAGAAGGAAACATATAAAGATGGCTTGAAAGAAATACAAACCTTTAGAGGCGTTGATCGAAATTAAGGCACCTACCTCTTCTTGAACAATAATTTCACCACAATTATTTGGGCATTCCACGGGCTTCTTCTCGCACTTTTCAACATGATCCTACGGACAAGCATGGAAACACATATCTCGCGCCTAGTACCTTTTATTTTCAGCAGTACCGGTACTTTCCAACCTCGGCTTTCGAGTCTTCGTTCCTTACCGCGCAAGCTTGACGAAACGAACTATTCTAGAAGGAGTTCCGTTACAAGATCGATTTTCATCAGTTTTTAACAATAGAAATGACCCAAATAACACCAGCGACTCGATTCACCACGTGTTTGTCAGCTAGGCATGCGCAATTCGAACGGAAGTCCGTTCTTTTCGGACTTCCAATCAGAACTTCCCGGGGTCGTGCGCTCCCTGACCGCTGGTCAAGGAGAACGAAGACTCTCGGTACGAGGTTGTAGCATTTTTCATCACTAAGACGACAGAAAAAATTGCGAGTGTGCAAATCACAGCCCAGGATATTAAGGTGGACGTTTAATGAATTAGGTATAGGTTTGGTGGGGTAAATTCTTAGAATAAGCCTGTTACAAACAACTTTTGTAAAAAGCCTAAAGAAAAAATAAGCAAAGACCTGAAAAAGGTGGACGAGTAAAGAGTCAATTGGAGCATTGCATCCAACCAAAACTCCCGGAAGTTTCGGAATAGCACCAAATGGTTCGGAAATATCCTTGGAAAGTTTTACAGAAAATCCGAAAATTGTTAAAGTGTATGTCAGTGACAGATATTTTTGCATTTGCTTGATGGAATCTTCATGAGATCATGACATGGAAATCGGAGAAAAATGAATATAGTTTTCTATTCACCGCGTTTTAGCCATCTAAACCGTCAATTTCTCTTTTGGTTGGGTCAAAGTTAAGACCTGCAACGAGTCAGGCTGTGACGTGATATACACTTTAAATTTCCGAAATGTGCACCACTCAACCGAACATTCCGGAAATTCTGGGCTGAAAATGAAATGGAACAAAAATTCCCGGTAAAAATTTTAAAAAATTTAGGTATAGCTCCCGAGGTTGTCTACTAACTAATTAATGAATTTTTATGTCTCAATTGACATTTAATGGTGTGTGGGGGAGAGGGGGGGCGGGGGAGACTTGAGGTTAATGACAGCACTGTGGACGCTTGGTTTCATGCCAAGTTGCTTCGACCCACCTAATTATTTAGGAAATCAGTTATTAACAATGGACAATATTATTCTCGTTATTGGACTCGAGCTAACTTGCTGCTGTGGGTAATGCGGGGGGAATCTTCGCAAATGTAAGTGACGTTTATGTCTGTATAAGACAAAATCCGATGGAAAATCGAGCAATTTCAGTTTTTAGTGGACAAAAACCTGGTACCAGAATGATTGTAAGTACATTACAGTTCTTTCTGCGTTTTCCAAAAACTAAAGCGATAAATAATTGCCTGAAATAACACCAAAAGCAATTTCCCATAGGAATTCGAGAAACTTTCAAAGTTCAGAGAAATTGCGCAAACGTAACACAGGTAAAATTTCATCATCAGTTTCATTTGACCAGTACTTTCAAGTGCTTCATATGAACTTCAAAGAAATTTGTTTTCGACATCTAATGTTGTTCGAAATGATTTGTTATGAGAAGATATTTAAAACAGTCGCACAGAAGTTTTCACTGTATGATGCAAATAATCTCAGTACAAAGTTTTTGTCCAGTTGTTAGTCGAACTTCAGGTGGATTCCTTCTTAATCTCTTTTTCATAATATTCCTCCGCATGAGCCTCCATTGCAAGCTAGTTCCAGTCCAACGCCGATAATACGAATATGCTTTATTGTCAAACAGAGTACCCTACTAATGACGTACTTGAATCACACACTTTGGGTGCGACTTGTTACAGTGATCACAAACTACAATCCTCCACTGGCACGAGTTGGTCACGTGCTCTTCAAGTTCCTTCCTTTGAATCGTCACTTGACAGTTTTCGTTGGTGCAAGAAACAATTTTGAAACTGCAAGACGCTAGATGATCCTGTTAAAGTAAGTTAATGTATTGTTAGTATACCTTAAAAGTAGAAAGACAATTCTCTTCTTCAGTTACTCGGCAGATTCAATATTACTCTCATTTAAGAAGGCTGGCAACAGTTTCCAGCACTTTTCCAACAGTTATACTTTGAGTGATGAATACTACATGTACTTCTGTTTATCAAGTGATACTACAATATTGGTATCACGTAAATGCCCAGCCATTGGTGAACCGATAATGGTAATCTTTATGGCATAATAGGTTACCATAGCAGCTGAATGACCAGCTAGAAATATCCTTAATTTTAGCTTTAAGTGCTTATAACTCAAAAGCAAGTTCGGTGACCTCCATTTTTTATTATCGAATTGTGATAAGCATGATGAGATGCAACTTTTTGCAAAGTTTAAAAAATTCTGTATTGTGGGTTCAGAGCCACCTTAAATATTTGAACATTTATTTATTTTTTTTATGACCATAGCAATACCGGTGCAGTGCTCGTGTTCTACCAACTGAGCTATCTCACTAAGTGGCGTAATAGCGCATGCGTTACAGGTTTACCTCTTTCTCCCTCAGTTCACCAGTCCACTCGCAACCTTCGCTGGAGCATTTTATGGTAAACGAGAGAATCTTCCTTCCGGTGGCATTGTCGGGAAATATGTCCTTTAATTTAACAAAAAAAATGATAAATTATCACATATACATTTAAAATATTTAACTGCATTTGTGTTATGGGCCTGCTAATGCTTGTTTATAGTGAGCCTCAAAGCCGCCTGGAGGAGGGTCAACGTGACGACCCANCATATACATTTAAAATATTTAACTGCATTTGTGTTATGGGCCTGCTAATGCTTGTTTATAGTGAGCCTCAAAGCCGCCTGGAGGAGGGTCAACGTGACGACCCATACAACGGCTTCGTAGGACACTACCTTACCAAGCGTTCCCGTAAGAGCTAGAATTTTTTTCATCTCCACCATAACTTGGCCGCGTGAATTCGGGAACGCCAGCTTTGGTTTTGCTATGGGCAAAACCAAACGTATAAGTGAACAAAAACTGATTTACTTTTGTATAATGATATTGAATGATAAACTAGCAATTGTACTGTTTGTGAAAGAACTGAACGAAAAAGACGCGCATGAAATGGTTGGCCTTGGACAGAGAAAACTTCACCTTTCCGTGGCGGGATGGCCAACCTTTGCCATGTAAAAATGTAGATGTAAATGAAAGAAAACGGGTCCAGAAGCCTCTGCAAAAGCTCTCGCGAGCGTATTGACTGTTTGCGTTCAGTTTATGTTTCTCTCTTTTCTGATGGTTGGCTGGAATAAATTTTCCCATCATAGATACCTTTGCTTTCTACGAATTCAAACTCGGCAATTAGCTGAGGTCATCAATATTTTCCCCGACCGCAAAATACCGTTTCGCTGCGGGACTCGACAAACACGACGTTTGAGTGAAACCATTAACCCAATTGCCAGACTGCATGGGTGGTAGTACAGTAAAGAGGCTTTAAACATTGGGGTTTCCTGGACTATAGGTCATGCCCCATGAGAGGAAACTCGTTGAGTTTTTCTGCAAAATCGCTGGCAACAGCTGCAGGCATTTCCTTTTTTCTCCTTTTCCACAACCCTATCAGCGTTCTTCCCCAATGTCTCGTAGGGGGTTAGCCTCCCACGCAGACGTTCTTGCTTAGTTAAGTTCGCAAAGATTTAAACGACCCAGTGCAAACTATTGTTTTTTTCCGACTTGTTTTAACTTGTCGATAATGACGTTGTTACCTTTTGGCGGTCAAGTTCCTCTCTGTCAACAGGACAACTACACTCTTGCCACTGGCTTTTTTGGCTGTGAACGAACATTAAAAATTGTTACGACGTTTTTTAACTGACCGAGCGACTATATTTATCACGTGTTACTTGTTTACGAGAGAGCAAGCGATGGGAAACGGAGTATTTCATGGGAAAGGGCAAACAGGCTTCAAAAGAATTTTTGAAAACTTGTAAGAAGGCTTTGGCAATGTAAAATAACATATCATAATATCTAAATTAAGCCAAGCCTAAAAGCGGAGCTCCTGGTTACAATAA